GGTGGGAGAAGATATATATTTGCAAGTGACATTTTTTTCTTTTAGAACGAAGGCATTCCTGGAGTGGTTGTTGTTTAATACTATATGTTGATAAATACATTGGATGTTGATTTATCGTGAACTGAAAACACTATTATTTGGCATATATCTGAAAAATAATACGCATGCGCACTGGTTATTATGGTACGTACATTAGCAATCACTGCACATATTAGGTATTGGTTTTGATTTTTTATCAAACGAATACTGTCGTGTGTGAGAAAAACTCGTCATTTTTTCACTTTATTCTAAATCATAATCTAATTTTATTTTTAGTATCGAACATCAATATAAAAAATATATATATGTTTTCAACCATATTATACATTTAAAGCTCCGATAGATGTATCTTTTTGCGATTTTTACAGTTTCCTTCCAACTAACCATTTTCAAAAATAATTCTCGAAACATAATAGTATTCAGCATTAAAAATGCGAAATGGATTGGACAGTCGTCTCTGAGACATAATGGGTTATCACCCGTCGAAACGACGCATCTACTTTTTTGCAATTTCAATAAAAAGTACAAACATTTTTATATATTTTGTTTTTTGTTTTTTTGTTTTTGTTTTGGGGATTTGAAACGTTACTTTTTCGTTTACACTGACTCATACAACAAAGTATTTGTTGATTTATGGATCAGTTTTTTAAAGGGCGATGGTCGTCGCGTCGCGCATGTGCGACATTTGTGTTGATACACATTGATTTTCCCACAATCCAATACGCACATTTGTTTTTACCCTGGCGTAACATGCACTAATCACCATCACGTTGTTGACTCCTTCCATGTCTCTCAACCATAAAAAAATTAGCTAGTTAAATCTTGGTAACCTTCCTTTTTTCAAGACCAATATCTCGCGCATGCATGGCGCAACGACCACCGCCCTTTAAAATATAGTCTATTTGTATGAGGCGGTTTACCTAGCTGTTTTGTATATTAATTGAGGCTATACATGTGGCCTCATTTGTTTTACATCTGCCATATAATTGACGACAACCGAATTCATCATTCTCACCGGCTACGTAAATATAGTACAACTGATTTTGTATAATACCTTCAATTCGGAAGAAAAAATGAAACATTTCATAACAAGTTTAACGTGTGGCATCAGAAACAGAAAGGAATATTTTTGCACATTTTATTTGCATTGTTTTTCACTGTCATTATTTGCATTTTTTTCAGACCAATATATGTTTTCAATTTTTTTTAAATCCTGGAATGTTAAGTTCAACCCTAGGATTTGAAGTGGTCCACCCTAACTATGGCCCTGGAATTCTCTTTGCTAAATGCATTGCGTGACTCCTACC